TTCAGTCCTTCTTCCAGCAACACAGCTCTAGAGTCTGTTCAATCTCTCTAAGGTTCAGGTGGCCAAATCAGCTGATAGAATTAACGAAAGAGGTGTATGGGCCACCCAGGTGAGTCTGGGGACAGAGGCAGGGAGGAACAAACCAGGATGAGCCGCTGGGCTGGCTCACTCGCTCTCGGTGCAGTTTCTTGAAACGTGGGTGAGCCGAGCTGCTCCCCACCTTCTTCCCTCATTCAACTTGCAAGCCTCAGTGCTTGTCTCTGAGCCAGCATAAAAAAAATCCACCCAAAGATCTCAGCTGTAAACTGGGAAGTGTTCTGCTCTTTTAATGCATTAAATAAAGGGTCTGATGATGTTCAGAGCAAACGAGTGTGCTCTTCTAATGCTGCAATTAACTTGGCTCAGTTACCTGTGGAGTTGTGTCCTCAGACTTCACGCCTCTGTTGTGTGAAAACCTTTTCCTTGATTTGCAGCTTTATATGAAACACTTTGTCTTAAATATGCAACAGTCCTCACAAAGCTATGGTTCTAGCAGATTTCCAGTTAATGACATTTAAATACAAATATTTTGGCCTTACTCATATAGGGAAGATAGATAATTCCCTTCTTAACTGGGAGAAATTACTTGAGGCTAGGAAGCCTGTTCTTACTGAAGCTTGTGGTGCTTTCTAAATCATATATACTCTTAAGAAGAAGGTATTATAACACATGTTATTGTCACAGCAGCTGTTGTTTTTCTGTCAGTGTTTGGCAAAGTCTGGGCTTGATAGCCAAACGCTTGGAAAAGAGTCCATGGGGGTTGTATCCTATAGGTGTTACTGTACAGGATCTGCGCAGGAGATTACAGCTTCTGATGGGTTAATCTTGGTTATGGAGTGATCTCTAGGAACTAAGAACCCTCTAAAATGTTGCCCTCACTCCAGAGCATGAGCTGCGCTGCTTTGAGCTTACTTTTGCTGTCTAATACCTAGTGACATAAATAAAAACGCAGCTGGAAGCGTCAAAGCCATCCAGTACTGAAACAACAAAAACCCGATGCCTCTGGCTCTGTTTGGGTGGGAGGATAAGAACCAACTTGTCGTGGCTGTTCCCAGACTTCAGAGCTGTGCTTTGATGCTAAACGATAATTGCTTTGTTAAAATGTCAGTTAATCCATAATCTACACAGCTTCTCTTCTCCACAAACTTCCTAAAACTTTATATACCTACTTCTGCTTGTGGCCCGCCTCGGATTCCCTTTAATTACTCTCCTCCTTTATTTATTTGTTTGTTTATGTGCATGGCTTTTGGCACTTAGGAACACACAGCTCCTAAAATGTTTTTGAGCACTTCACATTAGGAACCTCTTCCTCCCTTAATGTTTCTTTAAAGAACATCCGTTAAGTTGCTCAGAGCTGTGATTGTGTGTTAGTGTCTTCAGTGCCAGCCAGGAATTGTTACCGGATCCACCGGGAATTGTTACCGTATCCACCGGGAATTGTTACCGTATCCACCGGGAATTGTTACCGTATCTACGGGGAAATGTAGCGACACAGCCTGTGCTTGCTCTCTTGTTTTGGAGATGTGTAGCTTGTATCTTAAAATGTAAAACTTTTAACTGTGTGGGTCCATCAATTGTTTTTCAGATGCATAAAGCTGTTGAGTTGCAGGTAGCTACCTCCTGAAAAACTGCCTGAAGGTTTTGAAGGTGACTGTAAAACACTGAGCTTACTCATTGGTTTATTATTTTAAGCCCAGTCAGATCCTGTAACAATAAGCAGGAATCACTTTTGGTCTTTTTGTCTGTGTCTGTATCTCCATGTCTTGTTACTCTTGAAAATAAAATTCAAGATAATAGAATATTTTTCAAAACTTCTTCCTTTTGTTCGACAGGTTTTAGGTGCTCTGCATAGTTGGATAGCTGAGATATGAGTCCACCATGGCAGATAGTTGAAGGTTTTTGCTAAATACATTTTTTCTTCACTGTGTATGCACAATAGCATCTCCCTTCCTCCACAAAAAGATGTATTTTGTATATTTGTGCTTTGTTCAAGTGGCCTTAATCCGCACTGAAATAAACAGCGTAACATGCTACGCCCAGCACACTACAGGGCAAATGTGAGAGAATTTAGAGCACTTAAGGAACACTAATGTTATTTTTTTTAAAAGAGAAAAGTTGCACCATGAGTTACCGAGACCAGTTATGTACCAAAGGTGCTAAATATAAAAATCTCTCACTCCTGTGTATCTTTAGGATGGGGTTTCTTTCCTGCTTCGCTGACATCTTGCGGTAGAGTGGCATCACTTGTCCTCCAGGCAGTGTGGAGAATGTTTAAAGGGCAATTCTCTGAAGTGTTCCAAAAAGCACCTTTTTACCTTGGGTGCCTCCTAAGGGTGTGGGATAACTTCTGTGCAGTGGGATTTGAAATGAGACAAAAATGCGAATGATGGATCCTTCTAATGGATTTTTGAACAAACTTGTTAAGATGCGACTTTGCCGCTGCCTCCGGTCGTCTTTGGCATCTTGTTTCTCAGCTGCTACCTGGAGAAACAGATGTCTAAGGTGTATTTCGAAGAGTGTGACTGTATAATCATCAAATCATTAGTCTGTTTAGCTTAGGAGTGTTAAACTAGATGTTGACAGATGAGTTCTGTCACAACTTTGTCTCATTCAGCCGTGGTCAGGGATAGTACTTGTGTTGCTCTCCGGAACGAGGTTTTATCAGTACAGAGTGATTTGCCTGGGGAACACTAAAGCTGAGCAATTAACATGTCGGCAGTCAGTGACTCCAGTTGGGTTTGGGTGCTGGATGTGGGAGAGACAAGGAAAAATGGGGAGGGAGGAGGTGGGGCTGTGGGTAGAGGACAAGAGGATGGGAAGGAAGGAAGGAAAGGTGGTAGGAAGGAAGGAAGGATGGTGGGAAGGAAGGATGGTCAGAAGGAAGGCAAGACAATGGGAAGGAGGGAAGGAAGGATGGTGGGAAGGAAGGAAAGAGGGAAAGATGGTGGGAAGGAGGGAAGGAAGAAAGGATGGTGGGAAGGGATGTAGTTTGAGGGGAGGGAGTGGATTTGTGGTGGTTTGTTGTGTTTGTTTTGTTTGAGGGTTTCTTAACCTGCTGCTGTTGGTGGGGGTGAACTGATAATCTCCACTTATGCCGAGTCTCGGGCTCACTAACGACTGGGCAGCGTTCCACCAGAAACAGAGCGTGGGACTAGTTAAGGTGAGAGGCAGGTCGGTTACTGTGCGTCAGTTCTTGTCCTGTTCCTGGTTCTTCAGCTCAGGACGGCAGCCTGGGCTGCACTTTGCTGTAGAGTTCAGATGGTCCTTCCACTTAAACACAGCTCTGTTCCAGAGGCTGAACCTGCGAACTTAAAGGTGGCGAAAGCTTGTGATTCTTTATTCAAGTTAAGAGGTTTTACCTCTAAACATCTGGAGTGCAGCTCTCGCGTTCTGCCCTGGGGACCTGGTTGTGTGTTCGCCCTGGCAGGCGGGTTTGAAGCCAGACTACGTGTCCTTTTTCTGGAATTGCTGTCTCAAGACTCCTGCTGTCTGCACTCCTGATAGGAGCTATGGAAAGTGAGTGGCACTGCACCAGCTCTGTTCTTCTGCAGCAACACAGGATGTGTTTTAACCTCTGACCACTTCTGTAGCGCCTCTTTATCCACACATCTCAAATCCCTAGAGATTGCAATGCCTAGATGCTGCAAGCAGCGTAACAAATTGTAGGTGAACTTGGAATGGGGTGTGTGGCTGACTTGAACCTGAATTTGGCAGCACAGTGGCCTTGTTTGTTTGTTTGTTTATTTGTTTCCAGTTGCTCCTTAGAAGCTCATCCTGCTCCGTAAGCATTTGAGGGGGGAAAGGGAAGCAAATCTTTGTTCCCGCACAGCGACTTGCTCACTTTGCCTCCCACTCCCAGTGAGACAGAGAAGAAAAAAGGAAAAGTAGAAGCTGGAAAACTTGTGGGTTGGGATTAAAATTGTTTAACAAGCAAAGGAGAAGTAGAAGAAGAAAGAAAACAAAATTAATGACACAAAGGCAGTCACTCACCACCTCCCAGAGACAGACCATTGCCTACCCAGCCAATTCCTGAGGAAACGATGGGTAACCTCATTCAAAACCAAACAACCCTCTTGTCATTTTTCATTGCTGAGCATGATGGTATATGGCATGGGATATCTCTTTGTTCGGTCACCTGCCTGGCTGTGTCCCCTCCTGAGCTCCTGTGCACCTCCTGAGCTGTTCACTGGTGTGAGGAACAGAGGAGGTCTTGACACCCTGCGAACGCTGCTCAGCAGCAGCGAAAACATCAGTTTGGCAGCACTGTTTTGGTGTCACAGATGTAAACCACAGCACTGTACCAGCTGCCGTGAAGAAAATCAACTCTATCCCAGCCAGTACAGGCCTCTGTAACCCTTAGGTGTGTGATATTTGCTGCCTGGAGTAAATGTTGTTGGAGCTTTGACAGCAGCGGCTGCTGGTGACTGAAGCCGTGACAAGTTTGGGCACTTCGTAGTCTTGAGAATCTCCATGTGCTACCTAGGGCATAAAAAGAGCCAGTGACCCTGCGTGGTCCTGTCAGACCTGCAGCAAATGTGGCCGAGGCTGAGGTGGGGAGCGATGTGAGTCTGGAACTGAGCATGTTCAGGCTGTGCTTCCAGGAACTGGCAGGGGCCAGGCCTCTTGGTTTAGCTCTCTTAGCTCTGCTGCGGTCCAGCTTCCTCCTGTAGCTCTGGGTTTGTACATCCGTGAACCATTCTAGCCGTGGTGTTTAGGGTTCGTTTAGTTGTGGGGTTTGGTGCTTTTTTTTCTTAAAAAAACACATCGAGTAACATGCAATGAGATTTGATTTGATTCTTTGACCAGTTGGTGGGTAGGAGGGGATCCGCCTCATGTATCTGAAGTCTTTTTTGGAAGTCTGATGGAAATAAATCCTGCTCTACTCCCTGCACAGATACTGAAACTTTATAGAACCTTTTGGTTTTCTTTAAAGTACAAAACAGACTAGTCAACAGCAAGTTATGCCCATCACTTCTGCTATTTCGTGTGACCTAAAAATTATTGTAGTGAAACTTCTGTTATGGTTTCAGGTGTACTGCGAGTATGGGATGGTCCATGTCCTTTCAGAGAAGGGGAGCAGCAAAGGAAAAGACTACTGTATCCTCTTCAACTCCCAGTGGGCCCATTTGCCCCATGATCTGGGTAAAGCTGTAAGTACCTAGCCAAGAAGTGGCAGAATGTATTCAAAAATGCCTTTGTTACAGAGAAACTTCTAACTTTTATTAGTGGAATTTGAAGCAACTGCTTTGTAAAATTGTTTTTTATCTGTTAGGACCACCCTACACAGGGTTATGATGGCAATATTCTTTTCCAGGCAGCATGCAGAGGTAATGACTATTGCTGGTTCAAAACGGAAAGTTTCCTTTTGTACGTGATCAGTTAAATTAAAATGGCCCTTACGTGTGCTTGGAAAGGAGTTTTTATGTGTATGATACAAAAAGATACCATGTGGGCTTGCTAACCTTCAGCGCTTTCTTAGCGGTTCATAGTTCTGTCAAATGTGGGAATTACTTACTCTAGTCACAAACTGTGTCAAGCTTTTGCTGCGTTAGCCGAGGCTGTACGAGCTGACGATTAAGTCACTTCTTCACTCTGTTCCCTGAGAAAATGTGACTGTCACCGAATGGTGAAATCGGCAAATACACGTTGAATGAGTTACTCGCTGGGGAGCATATGCAATAGTCGACTGATACTCTTCGTTTTATTCATTGTATTCCTTAATCTACCAGCTGAGTGCTACACAGAATTATGAATGTTCTTAGCCCCGTGTACTCAAGTCTGAATTAGCCGTGGTGAGTTTATCACAGCCGCACATTGCTCCCTGGGTGCGTAGATAGCTCACGGGCTGCAGTGGCTCTGCCTGGTGTGGAGCCAGCTCAGCACCTCTTGTTCTTGCCCTGACCCTGTGTGACGTGAGGGCAGCGCCCGCCCGCACCGTCCCCCTCGGCCTCAGGAGCAGCCGTGGGAGCGCAGGGGTGCGGAGCGCTGGCTGGAGAGGGTCAGGGTCTTGTTTGGCTGGATCCAGGCAGGCTTCCCGTGGAGTCTGTACCATTCTAGACTCTGGGGTTTGTGGGAGCCGGGGACTGGACTGTAGACATCTTGTCTCAAACAGTCTCATAAAAATTCACTGGAGATGTGTTTCAGTAGCTCTGCAGGAGCTTACACTGAACTGAAACTGAAGCACTTAACAGGTTCTCATTTGCCTTGCCTCTCCATTTCCTTCCTTAGCTCTCCTCCTGCCTTTCCCTCCTTCCACATTCTCCCTTCTCCTTTCCCCCAGTACTCCAGCAGCACAATTTATTAACCGAGGCAATGCGGCACACGAGCCTGAGCTCACTCTGTTGGTGTTGTCCTCTGATAGATGTGATAAGCTTTCCTGAGACCTGACAACCAGGAGGTGTGTGCAGGGGCATTTTCCTCTCCCTGCAGTAGGAGCCAGGTTGGAGAGAGCAGTTTTCTGAATAAGCTTGGAGCTACTGACAAAGCAGTGGTCAGTTAGAGAGCTGTTTGGTATGTGTCTCGTACCCTGGATTTCTAATACATTCTATGGTTCTATGAATTTGGGCAGACCTGCAACATCTCTGAATTGCAAGTGATGAAAGAAGCAGCTTTGAATCCAGTATCCAGGTGCTTTGGATTCAAAATCTTGGCTAACTGGATATGACTGGTTTCAAAATGGAAGTTTATTTTCATTGCCTGTGCTTTTGCACTTTACCCCAGCCTGTGTTTGTGTTTCTAGCCATTTATACCCTACATCATCTCAGCCTGCCGCTCTGTGCTGCGCTGGCAATTTTAACACTTTGTGTACTCCTACCTCCTGCATCAGAACAGCAACAGCGCTGAAGAAAACAGATGCAAGTGCACATTGTAACCTTAATTTTATTACCAGCAAAATTCTGTCCAGTAAGGTGTAGCAAGGCAGGAGCCTACGTAATTGAGAGGGCAGCCCTGTTCCATATATGGATTTAACTAATTTCTTTCTTTTCAGTCGCTCTTACAACTGCAGGATCAGACAGCATCTGTTTTGTGTTCTCCTTCTGATGTACCTGATGGGGGATTTAATAATCAAATTCCCATGGTGATGCGAGGGAATTGCACCTTCTATGAGAAAGTGAGGCTTGCTCAGATAAACGGAGCTCGTGGGCTGTTGATTGTCAGCAGAGAGAGACTGGTAAGTTGTTCTGTCTTGCTGTGTTGCTGATACTCCTCTGATGTTAGACATTGTCTTCTTTTCAGTGTTTGTTCCTGGTATTTGATGCTCCTCTTTAAAATAAACGATGTGTGTATGTGGTTAAGTGTGTATGTACGTTGCATTTCTCTGTGTAGAAATAATACATCTGAAGGAAAGAGTAATGAAACAAGAGGAGCTGCTCGTTTAAGTAGGAAGAGAGCTGCATAGAGCCCTCGTAACATTCAAGTCAAGGGCTCAGAATGATCTTTATGTCATATGAAATACTGGAACCGAAGGAGAAGGTTGGTTTCTTGACTCCTACTGCAACCTTCAGTGAGAGCTAGAGCATCGTGAAACTAGAGTTTTAGATTCAACTCATGTATGTTTTGTAAAATTAGTAGTTTTGAATACTCTAGTCGATAGCGGAGGCACACACTGGGCATAAAACCATGACCCTGATGTGCTGAAGATACTGCCTCGGGTCTGGTTGCTGCATTTTGCTGTTACAGTCCTTAATGACTTGGATTTTACTGGGAGCAGGCATATGTTTTCATTTTGACTTTGAGGTTTTGCTGTCATTATGTTCCTTTCTAGAATATTTTCCACATCAACAGAAACCGAACTCTGAACTTCAACCCTTGGGAAGCAGTAGAAGTATTTGCTGAAATGAATATATTCTTACCTGGTCTGCGCTTCTTCCAGGTTCCTCCGGGAGGTAACAGGAGTCAGTATGAAGAGATTGATATTCCTGTGGCTCTGCTCAGCTACACTGATCTGTTAGATATTGGCAAGGTAAGCTTGATACTAAATGTCCTGATTTAAATTATCTCCTTTAAATGAGTCACTTTTCAACAGTGTTTGAAGTCCATCTTTGACTCTCTAGGGTGTTTACTCATGAAGATTGTGTATTTATGTTTTTTGGGGGAAAAAATAAGGCAAATCATTTGGGAGGTTATTTCTTATCTTCAGAATAAAACCAAAATGGAGCTGGAAATAAATATCACTAATAGTGGAGCCACTGGATTGCTCTGAAGTATTGATAATAAAGCTTGATCCAGAGGTTGCTTTGTGAAAACTAAACAACTGACCCTTTGCCAAGGTAGCTTTGTGGAAGTTCTTCATAACTTGTGCTTCCCTCTGCAGAGTTTTGGCAGCTCGGTGAAGGGGGCGATGTACGCACCGAACGAGCCTGTGCTGGACTATAACATGGTGATTATCTTTGTCATGGCTGTGGGGACTGTTGCAATTGGAGGCTACTGGGCAGGAAGCAGAGATGTGAAAAAGTGAGTCACTGGAATGTAGGATGTCAGTTTTCTTGTGTTTTTCGCAGAAAAATATTACGCGGGATTTATCTGTAAGATCTCTTGGCAGCTCTGCTCGTGAGGTTTGAAGACTGTTTATAGAACTAGAAGGGGAAAATGCTGATGTGACACTTGAAAGGCCGTGAGCCTTGTATTGGCTTTGTCACTGCATGAAATTCTTAGAGTGTGATTTGCATGTAGAGTGTTTTCGTGTTTTGCCTTGTTTGAAAAGCTCGGAAGGAAAATTGGATAGTAATAGGCTTCCTATTTGGGCTTTTGCAACAATTCACCATAAAAATCTTTTGTAAGAAATAATAAAAATTGTACAGTCGAGATGGCTCACATAGAGTGTGTTTGTTGTGAAACTTTTTTTGAATGTTCTGGTTGCTTTTGGCCGGTAAGTGGAGTTGGGGGGAGGAGGTCATCTGTGCCACACTTGTTTCTAACGTTTACTTTTTATGCGCTGCCTGACTTTAGAATTTCTTCTGAAGTCAGCAAATTATTCTGCAGTAGTTTTCAGAATTCTGCGGAGTTCTTAGTGAATGAAAAGTAGTACTCTTAATAAACCAATGCAGCACTTACTGTTTTATGCACTGTGCTATATCTGGTTTTCATACAAAATGTGGAGTTCCACTGACAAGTGAAAATCATCGCAGGTGCTAGCGTTGCGTCGTGTTTTCCAACCTCCTGTAGTTGTTGCTGAAGATTCAACACACTTTTATATTTTGTTCCCAAAGGAATGGACTGATAATAACCACGTTACTCTTTCAGGCGGTACATGAAGCACAAACGTGATGATGGGGCAGAGAAACACGACGACGAAACAGTTGATGTGACTCCAATAATGATCTGCGTGTTCGTGGTGATGTGCTGCTCAATGCTGGTCCTCCTTTATTTCTTCTACGACCACTTAGGTACTCTTAATAAAGTTTATTTGTGTTGCTACATCTTCAATAGCACGAGGCTGCCATTGTTTAAAGAACACTTTTACTGTGAAAATAATTGTCAGACAACTGTCTTCTGCCATGTTTCTTCATTTTGATATGATTTAAAACCCTAGAAGAAAAGCCACTGTGTAGATTTCTATCCGTGCTTTTGCTGGGGTTGGATTAGGTGATGGTGGAGCTTCTTTCAGACTTTAAACTCTATTAAACAGCGACAATCTTCCACATTTTGTTTTTGTCAAAGGTGTTCTCAAACCTGTACTCATGTCTTTATTATTGTTCAGTTTGAAGTTAAGTTATGGGATCCAGGATCAACTTTTTTATCTTTGTAGAGATAAGTTTTCTACTTAGCAACTCCTTTGACTAAAGAGCATGAGAGTCAAATGCACTGGAACTTCCATCCTCGTAGCTCTGAGGAAATGACGGAAGATGCATCCCGTCTGTTAATTCATTTTGCTACCTAGTGATTTTAGGAGTTCCGTTATGATGCTCGCATATACTCATAATGAGAAGATAAACACTTCATCGTAAGTTGCCTTTTTAGACTTGTGACTTAATGAATTACTTTAAGTGTATCAGCACAGAGGTTTTGATTTGTTGGAGTAGCTATTGCGTAAGGTACACCTGAGTAAAATGAGCTAGAATTAAATAGTTACAGAGCATAAATCTAATCAGCAACCATTGGAAGTCTCAGAATTTAACTGGTGAGATGTAAGCCTAATTTCACCTTTGGACTTTTTGATTGTCTGTTCTTTATTCAGCTGCATTATGAAAAAAAGCATCTCTTGCCTTATCCTGCTTGGACTTAACTATTTTTTCTTTCTCAGTCTATGTTATCATAGGAATATTCTGCCTGGCTGCCTCAATTGGCCTTTACAGTTGCCTGTCTCCTTTTGTAAGAAGATTCCCCTTGGGAAAGTGTAGGTATGTGGCAACTTCTGAATTTTTCATAGGCAAAATTAATTTTTTACAGTGTTGGGTAGGTATGAGATTTACAAGGTGGTATCATACTTCAGAGTGTTTGCAAAGGAGGAGGGGAACTACATAGACGACTAGCTTTGGTGTGTTTCATTTTCAGAATCCCAGACAACAACTTGCCTTATTTTCACAAGCGTCCACAGGTCCGGATGTTGCTCCTGGCAGTCTTTTGTGTCTCTGTCAGTGTGGTCTGGGGAATCTTCAGAAATGAAGACCAGTAAGTGTATATTTTTGTGGTTTCTCTCCTAAAAATTGCAGTATGCTTTGTAATACAAGTTAACTGACATCTGTAGAAGCCTAAACTTATCCATAATTTAGGAGTGACAGGAAAGAAAAAAGAGACTTACACAGAAATTCTTTGTTTTTCCTTATGTACTTCGTCTTTGTCTTGTGGGTTTAAGTTACAGAAAAGTGTCTCTTGTTAAGCTTGAGTTTCTTTGAGTCCCAGGCCAGATCTCTTTGGTTTCAGAAGCGGTATGGAAGGTTGGACACAAGTTGGCTAACTTATTTCTTCATGGTCTGCATGTGCGTTTACTCAGAGAGCATAACAGCTGTGAGGATTGTCAGATCTGTAGTTTCTCTAACAGTCAGCTATGAGTAAATTCTCTATCTCTGATATTGCTGCGACACCTACTTATAACATATTCTTACCACTTTCATTAGTTTTTTTGGTGGTATTTGTGGATTGCTTTTTAGTTGTTTTTTTGGGGGGGTGGAGTGGGAGGTGTTTTGATGGTTGGTTGCTTTGGTTTACCCCTTACCTTACTCCCAGATGCTCCATTTTCCCCTTATGTACATGATGTGCTCATCTTTTTGGTCCCTCTGTAGGGGAAACCTGTGTTGGAACTGAAATGCTGGCTTGTGTTTCTGCTGATGGTGCCAAAGATGTCTTGCTTGTGCCTGAATGCTTGGTGTTGCCGTTGTGGGGTCTGCTTTCTGTGTTAAGGCTGTGGAACGGAACTCATAAATCCAGGGAGCATCAACTCTGAAACATCTTTTAGAGAAAGAAGTGTCAGAACGAGGAGTAGTGCTATAGAGCTATTCCAGTCTGGGATATTTAGGACTTGGAAATCCATTTTTTGCCTCAAAGCTGGAGTGGCCCCGAGTGTCTCTTGCACAGAGCTCCTTCAGCAGGTGCTCAGATGTTGATCACAACAGCGTAATCATAGAATGGTTCAGGTTGGAAGGGACCTTGAAGACCATCTGGTTCAAACCCCCGTGCTGTGGGCAGGGACACCTCTGTCCCACCAGCCCAGCTTGCTCCAAGCCCCGTCCAGCCTGGCCTTGAACCCTTCCAGGGATGGGGCATCCTCAGGCAACCTGTGCCAGTGCTTCACCCCTCTCACGGCAAAGAATTTCTTCCTTATATCCAATCTAAATCCACCCTCCTGCAGTTTCAGGCCATTGCTCCTTCTCCTGTCACTACAGGCCCTTGTAAAAGCCCTTCTCCAGCTTCCCTGCAGCCCCTTTCACGCTATTAGGTCACCCCAGAGCCTTCCCCAAGCCAAATAACCCGAGCTCCCTCAGCCTGTCCTCATAGCAGAGGTGCTCCAGCCCTGTAATCTCCCGTCTGCGACTAGACCTTAGCGATTTTAGGGAAACCTTAGTGTTTTGTATCTCGAATCCTACTTCCCTTTGATAGTAAAGCAAAGGTACTAGCTCAGCTGTTAGAGTGTGAGACTCTTCATCTTGGGGTCGTGGGTTTGTGCCGTACGTTGGGCACTGATTCATCTGTCGAGGGCTCGAGCTAGGCCCCGACAGATGCTCTCTGCTGCCTCTCCCCTCACAAATGGGAATGAAAAAGAAATAAGGCAGAGAGACTTATGGATTGGAAAAGAAAACTAAAATAGCTTTAATAATAATAGCACTGATAAGGAAAGCCTTACTGAAGTCTAGATAGACAGTGACCCTGCTGCTTTGCCCTCTTCTACCAAACCAATCATTTCATGGTAAAAGCTTATCAGCTGATCAAGCACAACTTCCAGTTTGTGCATCTGTGCTGACAACAATGTCGATTTCAAGCAGGAACTTTTAAATAAAGTGGGTTTTTTGTCCCCAGGGAGTCTTTAGTGAGGACAAGGTTTGCTCTGGCTTGCCTATTGCTTTCTGCAAAAAAGTTACTCCTTTTTTTTTTTTTTTTTTCCTAGGTGGGCCTGGGTTCTGCAAGATGCTTTGGGAATTGCTTTCTGTCTTTACATGTTGAAAACAATTCGCCTGCCTACGTTTAAGGTATGAAAGCTAAACAAACATAAAAAGAGGATGTCTGCATATGGTTGAACAGAGGAGCCACTGATGGCTTGGGAATTAACTTCTGTTCCTGTGTATCACCTGCCCCTGCTTTCCCTTTACCCCTGACCCACAAGCTCTCAGTCAGTGCCTCATCCTTCCCCAGATGGAGCTCCCCAAACTCCAGCTGGTCACCGAGGAGCAGGGTGACACCCCCTCCTCTTCTCCCCTGCCTGTCTCTCCTAAAGAGCTTGGACCTTTCCATTCCCACCCTCCGGCCGTAGGACCCACCTCGCCACGTCTCTGATGCCGTGACATCGTAGCCCTCTGGCGTGCGCACGTCTCCAACTCTCCTGTTCATTCCCCGTGCTATGGGCTGTCCTGGTTTTAGTTAAAAAACCCAATTCTGTGTAGTGACTTTTACTTTGCATTTTGGGTGCTCTGCTCTTCACCTGTGAATTTGTTTCCCTGGACAGATTGGCCAAAATAACAAGGGTGCTATTCCAAGCTATGCCTCGCACCCTCCAGGGAAAATGCAGAAGTTCTTAATGCTCCCTAACAAACTGAAATGGCACCATTTCCAGATTTTACATGATGGACAATTTTATGGACTAACGTACAGTTTTATGACTAAGAATTTCTTTTATATGGTGCATGTGAGACCCAATCCCTCAATGCAGAATATTTAGTAATTAAGCAAAATACTTTTGTGGGGGAGAGGTGACTTGATTTTTAGTCCTTGTTAGATTTTGCCTGGAGTAGTCTTAAGTTGCTAATAATTAAATTGCTGCTGTTTACTAATGTGTAGTCTGTAAGTACCGAGTATCTTGTCTCTTCCTTCAGGGTTGTACCTTGCTCCTCCTGGTTCTTTTTGTGTACGATGTGTTCTTTGTGTTTATCACACCTTTTCTAACGAAGGTAAGCGAAGTTCTTCCCTCGAGCTTGTGGCTCCCAGAGCAAAGTGTCACGACCCGTTTCCCTGTGTGTTCCTAAATGATCCCAGCCATGGGAGTGAAGTGCTGCTTTACAAGTTTCCCCTTTTTTCTTCAGACTGGGGAGAGCATAATGGTGGAGGTGGCCGCAGGTCCGTCTGATTCTGCCACTCATGAGAAGGTACTGTCTGTCAAACATCAGTCGGAGAACACGGCGCGGGTTTCCAGCTCTTACGCTTTCAAATTCTCTAAGATTCAAAGGCCGCAAAGCTGAGATGGAGATGCCAGCCTGAAAAGAATTTCATGTGGAAATAAGCACTCCTGAGCTCTCTGGAAATCAACACCAAACAGAGGGGGCAAAGCAGACTCCTGGTGGTTCATCACAACAGCTTTGTTCTTCCTTTATCTTGCTTTAAAAGGGTTTCAGCGTAAGGAAGCCGCTTAGCTGGGCTTCACAGAAACGTGTGACCGCGTTTCTAAGTAGAACTTACTGCTAATGAATCCTTTTTTCCCTGAAGAGGTAGAACTCACACGATCAGTTTGTCTCCCTCCTCTTTCGATAATTTCTTTTTGAAGAGCTGAGACCATGGGCAAAGGAGAGAAACGCAAACTGGAGGTGGAGAAGTGAGTTTTCAGTAGCCCGGTGCCGTTCGACAGCAGCCAGCTGTGAGCCTGGGGCTGAACAGCAGCCTGGGGCTGACTCAGGGAGAAAAGTAGGAGAAACAAGTAAGAAATGGATCTGTAGGAAAACTGGTTTTGTTAATTTAAGGATGTCGGATCTCTTCAGCAATGAGAGCAATACTGTCGCGTGGGAAAATAATGAAGAATATAGTTGTTTGCAGGCTGGACTGTGAGTGGATCAATCCATACCAATTTCTTTAACTTTCTTGTCCTTTGTACCCCTTTAGTGCCCCTTTAGTTTCAGTTTTATGCATGGAATTAATTGTATAGAAACAATAATGACAGCATAAGTAGATACAATTATTCTGGTGCTAACATAGGAAAGTTTCTTTACTGTATTAAAGAGAATACATGTCAGCAATGAGCCTTGCTGTACTGTGCCTCAGCATTGCGAATTATGTGAGAAATAGGAACGCTTGAGGAAAAAGAGTCTTTAAAGTGACTTGAAAAATCACTTTTTTAAATTATTCAAGTCTTTAGTCTTTTGAGGCTTTTATGTCTGTCAATACAACAGAAACAAGTGCTGGGAGGATGTGTTTTTGTGCAGGGAAAACAGCTTTTTGTAAGGTATGTCTCTCTCGTTCCCAGCTCCCGATGGTCCTAAAGGTCCCAAGGCTGAACTCCTCGCCGCTGGCTCTGTGCGACAGGCCTTTTTCTCTCCTAGGGTTTGGAGACATTTTAGTTCCAGGTATTTCTTATTTAGCATGTTAAGAATGCTACTTGTTGCACTGTCATATTAGTTTATTCCTCGTGTGCTTCTGCTTCAAGTGGCAAGTTTGATTTGACTAATATAAATCTGATAAATTTGTGTCTTTTCCTGCAGTTTACTTTTTCCATTAAAAAAATAATCTTGCGGTTCAGTTTCACATGCAGTGATGTCAAGAAATGTAGAGAAATATCAAGAGCTGCCTTAGAAACTGAATTTATATTATAAAACGTCTCTAATAGAGGAAATTTGTTGATTTGCACGTGGGTTGAATACACACCTACCTGACCATTCAAAATGTGATAATTTTGTTGGTCACACAACATCCAGTGTTTCTACCCCACGTTCTCTCCAGTTTGACTTTAATATGTGGTAGAATGCCTGATACCTCTGGAAGTGAAGACAAGTCTGCATCTTCTGGCTGTCAGATTTCTTCTGAGAAATCATTCATTTATTTTCTTGTCTTTTGGGAGGTAGGAGCTGTGGCATCCTCATCCCATAGGTTTCTACTGTCTTTACTGGAAGGGATGAACTTATTCTTGTTGCAAACACTGTGTTTTTAAGCATTGTTAGGGATGAGATGACGTTCTTTATCTAGGATCTGTGTACTCGTAGGTGTGGTTTTTATTATTAGAGTGCTTCTGTTGTACTGGGCTTGTGTTACCACGTAGCTGTTTGTAAGCTGCGCAGCCTCCCGAGTGATGCTGTCAGAGTAAATTGGAAAAAAAATAGTGATAATTTGATTGTTTTGTATATCTTAATGTGTGAATGGGTCAAAAACATGTTGTAATTTTTCTTTCCTTTCCTAGGCTTACTGGTAGCCTATTGCCATAGATTTGATATTCAGGTGCAGTCGTCCAGAATCTATTTTGTAGCCTGCACAATAGGTACGTATAATGGGCACACCTGAACACAAACCTACTGGAGTTGCTCCCTTTAAAAGTGTACCATCAATTGCATTTTATGTAGTTTGGATTTTTTATATTTTTTTCCTCTTTTTAGGATTAAAAATGATTTTATGATTTGTCTCTCTACATAACCCTTACATCTTCATATGTGCTTAGCTACTCATACTGATTTCTTGATTCATGAATGTGAGTTTCTTGCGTATGATAATTCAGGTTCAGGGTATCTTCCTTTGACTGCGTTCTTAACTTTGTGTGTATTCTAAAAGATCCATGACCTATGATAGCTGTAACCCCGCTAAGTTAGTTTTCTTTAGGGTGTAGAATCCACAGAGTTGCATGCCCTGGACCTAAAGACATAGGATCTGACAGGTTTCTGTTGGTTTTGTTAGGAGGTCTGCTATTATCTCTAGGAGGAGGCCTAGGAGGAGGCCTAGGAGGAGGCCTAGGAGGAGGCCTAGGAGGATCGCACTGTTCCAAGTTCACATTGTGTATTTAATACTGGTATCTAAAGAGCCCTGAAAAAGTCTGGTGATACCACTTTACATATTACTCGAAAACAATTCCTGTCAGAGCGCTCCTCCGCCTCCTGACGGAACTGCTGCTGAGCAGTATATCCAGATAACGGGGTGTGCCTGGTTCTGTGTCCCTGCAGCGTACGGCATCGGCCTTCTCGTGACCTTTGTTGCCTTGGCACTGATGCAGATGGGCCAGCCCGCTCTCCTCTACCTGGTGCCCTGCACTCTTCTCACCAGCTTCGCCGTGGCTCTTTGGAGAAAGGAGCTCGCAATGTTCTGGACGGGCAGCGGCTTTGCGGTGAATACCAGTTTGATATGAGTGTCTTCAAGAAATACTAATGTTATAAAAACCTAACTAGAATTAAAGTTGAGTAAAATATTGCAGTATTATCAAACAAAGCTGATTATTTGTTGGTTGGGGGTTTCTTTAACGTACTTTTTTGCCTTTGCTTTTGGTTTTTTAATATTTGTGACTACTTGAACCGGCTAGTGAAAAGTAAAGTAGACCTTGTCTGTCCTTGATTCTGCCATAATTCTACTCATTTGATCTCTGTTGAAAGTAGTATTATAAGTGAAATATTACATAAAATGTTTTATAATATTACATAAAATATCCTTTAAATGTTTCTCTTTTTCTACTGCTTGTGAAGGTAGAAATCTAGTTCAATGTTGTAAATCATCACTTTGTTTCACTGCGGTACAAGTGAAATTAATTTGATTCCAAAAGGAGTATTTCTGTCGTGATGCATGGTGATGCATAATTTTGATGCATGATTTTGAATAATTCCTTTAAGAGCAAATCTATTGAGGCAGAGCTTTTCGACTATTTGTGTTAGCCTTCACAACTTTCCCCTAGAGAACCGAATTTAATTGTTGGAAAAATATTCGTGATCATCTGAAATGTGGCGGGAAAGTTGCCGGTTGTTGTGTGGTGATAGCAAAGGTGGGCAAACCCAGAGGATAAAGAAGGGCCAAAGTGCTGATTCCCTGTTCCTGTGGAATGAGCAGAGCGTGTCCGCAGTGGGCGAGGAGCCGTCGGGCACAAAGCAGTTTAATGCACGGCTGGAAGAAAAATCCCCTTGTGGGCTATAGAACATAAAGGCAGGAAACCTGTGCCTGTGTCCACTGCTAGAGAATGATGGTGGAGATGATGGACCGTTAATCTTCGCCTTCTGTGACCGTCACTCCTGATCTGTTGGAGCAGGTCCAGAGGAGGCCACAAAGATGCTCAGGGGCTGGAGCAGCTCTCCTGCGGGGACCGG